TAAGCACTCTGACAAGCAGCACATCTTTGTGGAGCTTTGTTTTGAATGGACCAGTGGCCTATCAATGAAATAGTATCAGAGACTCGAGCAGAGCTGACTGAAGCTTCTGAATCATTGAGGAGTTGCTTTATAAGATTTTTTTGAAGTCTTAAAAAAGCTATTGAATAAGTTTTGCATTTCTTCTTCAGTCAGTCCTCTTTTAGTTTTCAGCATATTGCTACAAAAAATCAAAATAATTCCTACAAAACTTGAGAAAATATGCAATATTCTAAAGCAATGCAAAGCTCTATTTACGATTTACAAATGCAGTTATCCTGAATTCTATAGCTACAAGAATGAAAAGGAAAAAATTAGGGAAACTGGATCCTTAACACAAAGACCTTTGAAAGAGCTAAGTGGTTAAAACCCCAGGGATGTCAAATTTGACATTTCATCCCACACTTTCAGCCTGGAAAATGGGGGGGGGGAGAGACATGGCCACTAAAGTGGAGAACCCTGTCTTTTCAAACAGGTGATTCTACGGCCACTATAATGGTCATCTTGCCCTCATAGGGTTAATCAATAATGGCAAATATCACAGCCATCCTCGTCCATTATATTTATTAATATGTCAATAAAACAGAAAATAACTATTTATTAATGTATATATATTTCATAAATAAAACTAATAACTCACTTTGTTGTTATTTTTTCTTTTTCTTTTTAAACTCACTTCAATTTCATTTCAAATTCAAACTATCCAAGAAAAACTGGAGTAGGAGTCGACGGGTTTTTAGTGACTCCAGCTCAAACTCCTTTTACCCGAAAACGGTTTGACTACACAGCCCTGCATGCACTAAAAAATGTTACATTGCCTCATCATATGGCAATTAATTCACTTTTAGAATTGCATGTTTTTGTTGATGCTAGAGAAGAAACGCCTGCTGCATGCTTCTTTGTTCAGTCAACAGTTAATTCTGATAAGAAGGTAGTTCTTGTTAGAGCAAAATCTAGAGCAGTTTCTCTCAAACCCCCGAGATGCCCTGGTTGGAGTTGATGGTTTGCAGTACAGGCACAAGGCTTGAAAATTCCAGTATAAAACTGCCAATATCTTAAAATACTTAAATTTCAGTAATTTAAATTTAAGTATCTTAATACATTTAACCCATTCAGAACCAGTGTCCCGTATTCACAACGCAACGATTCTGCTCCTAAAAGCCTAGCGTTGTGTATATGCAACATTGAAATGGAACGATTTATTTGAATTTTTTGAAAGCCAGTAAATGGAGTTAAGTGGTAATTGTTTTCACATAGGTTGATTCATATGGCATTTGACCTTCATGTACTGGCATTAGTTTCTGTTCTGTTTTGTGCTTCTGGTTTTGAGAGATTTATTGATATAAACAAACTGGAAATCACAACTCTTTATAAGTGTCTCTGTGAATTAAAGGGGCACAGGCGTTTTTGTTTATTTCATTAGAATTTCCTTTTTTTTTTTTTTTTTTTAAGTTTGAAACTCAACATAAGCTTTCCTGGTTAATTACAAAGTAACATTACAACATTATTACAAAACGAGAAAGACTATCAGCTTTCTTGACACGTAATGCGTCTTGCTCACATTTCTCAGGAAAGAGCCAGCGCTTTTGTTTTTCTTCCTCGATTTAATAGGTCATTATATATAATGACACAGGCATTATATTTTGGTATATAATGTGTTTACTTTACATATAATGTAATATGTAATGTATAGATTGACGTGATCAGTAATGGATATCTCGCCAGTGGGTGTCTTTCCTTGATCACTTTCCGGTCATTATGGACGCTGTTTTCGATTTATAAAAACAGGAAGTTTTCTAATATAAAACTGGCTTCACACATGGTTTGAGGATGAAATATTTCTGAGTGTCTTTTGAAGAAGTGTTGCGGCATGTGTTGGGGTTGTATTCAGTTTCATTCCGTTAGCCATGGCTAAGAGACCTTACTTAAAAATTTGTCCAAAATCACCGGAAACAACTTTCCATCTAACTGGAAGACAGTTTCCGAAAATTTACGTTGACAGAAAAGGTAATAAAAGTAGGAGAAGATGCGTTGTGTGCACTAAAACCAAGGAAAAGCGAAAACAAACAACGTATTTTGAGTGCGAAATATGCAATGTAGGACTGTGTGTCGATCCTTGTTTTGAATTATTTCACACACTAGAATTTTTAAATTGGAATTTAATTACCTACAAGTAATTCTTGTTTAGTTCCCCCCCCCCCCCTTATATGAAATTTTTTTTTTTTTTTCATGTTTATAGTATTTATTTCTGTGTGTATAGTAATGATTTTAGTATTTTGCCTGTTTAATTTATTTCTATTAATGTGATATTCTTTATATTAATACACATTAAAATCAAGTACATTAAATACGCAACTTCATAATATCATAATATCAAAATGCTGATTTTATGGGTGTTTTTAATATACCAAACTTTAAAATAAAACTTTGGTCTGACTCTATTACGGACATTTGGTGGATAAAATGTCTGTAATAGAACTCGGAAACTGGTCAATTTTCATAGCAGAGTTAAAATAATTCGTCAGTTGACAAACAGTCAGGTATGAAAATATGTTCCAGGAAGTATGAATACTGCTGCTTTACTGTCATGTGGCAGTTCAACTTGGGGCAGGGATGGTCTTCATGGCTAAAGGAAAATTCTGAATGCCGACTAGGTAGCAAATTGATGTCAGCCTACAGAAGTGCACACAGAAAGAAAAGTGACGAAAATGGTGACTAGTGATTAGCCAAAGACACAATTCTTTGGCATCGTAACAACACAACAAATTATCATAAATTAGGTGTTTGCTTGGGTTTTAAGATTTCTAAATAACTGTCAGTAAACTTTTATCAAGCGTAAAGACCCTGAACATTCTTCTTCTGAAACTAAAAATTCTGAAAAGTGTAATTTGTTTAATTCAAAGCTACTGTTACAGACTTTATAAACATATGGATAATTTTAGTGAAATAACATGTGAAACTGCTAAATTGTTTTGAATATAACATAACATGAAAATCCAGAAGGAGGATCCTCTGTTGAAAAAATAATATTATAATGTCAAGTCTTTTAACATTGAGTAAATGGCTATCTCGCCGAGCTGGCAATGGTTTTGGTGACAAATCATCAAATTTTGTTAAATTTGTCAACATTTTGTTCCCTGTATCATAATAATAGGTATTGTAACTGGATAACCATAACTGATGTTCAGTGTAGATGTAACCATAATGACTGAGAGAAGAGATGAAAGTGAACTAAGAAGAGACGAAAGGTGGATCAAGAAAAGATTGAAGCATGTCAACAGGAAATCAAAAGAGATATTACTGCCAAAATAGAAAGCAAATCTGAAGCTATGGACGACAGAAGATACACAGTTGTAAACAGAGCTGAAGAAAATGAAGAAAGAGTTTCTGCTGCAGTCACCAAAGAAGTTGACACCTTAAAGAAATAAATAGCAACTGCCAGAAGCAATTCTGATGGTTTTAAATTTTTACCCATGCTTTCTCATCCCTTTCTGAAGCTATCCACATATGATGGTAAGACCTCTTAGTGAGTGTATAAGATAAAATTTTCTATAGCAGCGGATGTGAATGGATTATCAGCTAAGGACTGTCATTTTGCTGCTTCTATGAGAGCAAATGCAGCAGATATTCTTCAAACTCTTCCCAAAAACAACAGGCTAGACTTCATGCTCTATATAGCACATTGTAGCTGTGCTTTGATGAGAAGTATTTAAACTATTATGGCAGACTCCAATTACACTATGGAAGGCTGATGGAAACACTCCAGAAACTTGCTATGGAGGCTGAAAGGCTGTCTCAACTCACTTTTTTGAGGTGCTCGATGGAGAAAAGAGAAATCCTCTCCCTGCAGTAATTCATCAATGGCATCCAGGATCCCGAGATACAGAAAGCTCTGCAAATGCTGTATATCAAGGATTTTAAAAGTTGAGATTTAAAAGGTTTTATTTCGATTCCTTCTAAGCATTCAAATGATAAACTTGCACGTTTACTCCCAACAACTTATGGTGGAAGCAATCAAAGAGAAAAGGTCAGAATTGGCAAATTGCAAAGGAATTGTGTTCCATCAAGACAATGAGAGGCCTAACACATCTTTACCAACACAAAAGAAATTATTGGAGTTCAGCTGGGAAGTGATATCACATCTCCCCATAGCCCCAAGCTTGCACCATCGGATTATCATTTATATTGTAGTTTACAAAACTTCTTAAATAGTAAATGACCTCAAAACTAGAAAGATAACAAAACGGTATCGAATGGAAAGTAAGATATTTCACTAATTAAAGTCATTTTTTTGTATAGAAAAAAACTGAATTTCACACTATAAAACAAAAACTACTTTCTTTCCAAACTGGTATAAACAGTAAAAGCTCTATATTTTTTCAAGTAAATATAATTTTTATAAATAAGAAAAATAAAATATAAAAATTCCCTTATTACTTTTCTTGAAATCAGACCACTGCTTTTGTCAATAAAAATGTATCAAGTCTTACTTCCTATCCTCATGTGTTACAAATATAAATAAACACAGAAGCAAAGATATATATTTTCAACAAATTGTCATACATTTTTTTTTTCAATCTGATGAATAAAATAACATTAATTAATAAAAAAAAAAAAAAAACCACTACTTAAATACAACATAAAGTACTGAATAAAGGTACTTATGTATTAGCAAAACCAGCTTGGTGCAGTTTGGTGATTTTTTTACAGAAGAAAAAGGTGATTTGTTGAGATTTGGGATTTCCAATTTACAAGGAATGTGGTTACCTAAATAAAGCCAAGGGATAAGGTTACCTAACTGTTACATGCATGGTTACCAGAGTTTGCTGACTTCTGAAAATTTGGCGAGTTCTACTAAGATGGCCGCGGTAATATATAAGTATCTGAATAAATACACAGCTTTGCCAAATTTTACATAAAATATCAGTTAATTCTCACAAAATGCTAGGAAAGCAAAAACTTACTACATGAAAATCTGATTCCTTTGTACCAATCTGCAGTTTATAAGATAGCATATCCTCTCCTATTGGCTTTGCAGTCAACCATTCCACAATGCAGGATGTTTCAGTAATATTAGTAACTTTGGGAGCTGCAAGGAAACATCTTCCATCAGTTTTAAAGTTCATTTATTAACAAGAAAAAATAACATAAGATGAATATTTTATCTCTACATATAATAAAAGAAAGAGTCTATCTGTGTGTTTATTTTTCGTTTGTACTGCATGTATGCTAATAGACCCAGGGCTCCGAAATTTGGTACATAGGTGCCAGGGCACCTTGAAGCGATTTTTTTAAAATTCGAATCATATTTTTTTAATTTTATCTTTTTTGATGAAATTGCATCATCTTGAAAAGTTTCAATCTTTTAGAAATGTGTTTTTAACAACAGTTTTTCATTCAATGTTTTGTATACTGGACTGCTGAGCCCTGAAAATCTGAGATAAAATATTATTAATCATACTTTCCTTTGTAGAGTTTTTTTTTTTTTTTTTTTTTTTTGGGTGTGTGTGTGTGTGTGTGTGTTTTCATGTTATTTATTGCTTATTTCACTGTTTTTAAGATATTGAAAAGTTTTGAAGGTTTTTTTTTTTTTTTTTTTTAGGAAACAAAGCTGTTAACTTCCTTTATACATTTGAATTCTTATAAGGTTTTGCAACGAGAAGTTGGTTAATTTATTTATTAGAATAATTAATATTTGTATTAAGGGATATTGCTTATTTCATTGTAATTTGTTTATATTATGTTTTAATTATATAAAAGTTTTGCATGATTATTTTTAGGAAACAAATTTCTTAAGTTCCCTCATACCGTTTGAATTCCTAAGATTTTGCAATGGGAAGTTGGTTAATTTATTTAAAAGTTTAATTAATATTTGTATTAAGGGATAATGCTTATTTCATTGTAATTTTTTTATATATAATACCTTTTTATTGATTTTTTATAAAGTTGTTAACTGAGCAGTTTTAAATTTAATGTTTGGTGTTCTCTTTAGGCATTTTCCTGGTATATTTAAAAGCCAGACGAAGGCTGGCTGTGTAGGGGCTAGTACATAATATGAAAATGAAATTTCACAGCACAACTTAACTTCAGTTGACAGTCTTTGCTACAAAGATTTTTTTTAAATAGCTTTCTTAAAAGTATGCATTATTGCAGCAAGAAGACTGTAAAAAAATATAAAGACAGATTGAATTTTTTGCATTTTTACAAAATTTATCAAGACTTGATTTTCGTTTGTTAACTTCTGTAAATAAATTTCTCTAAATTAATGAAATGAAAACATTTTCTTACATTAATGCAGTCATGGAGACATAATTTCATTTTTAATAAAGTATACCTAATTCCATTGCCTCTAAATTATAAAGTTAAGTCTCCAGCAAAGAGAAAATTACACACAAAACAATATTTTAAATAGTTGTTTGTAAATGAAAAATATTATCACATTAACTCCAGATTTATAGAAAATTGATATACAGCAGAATATTCTACAAAGTTTCATCCAAATTTTTAAAAAAATCACATTATTTAAAACAAATTTCACATTATTATTTCAGCAATATCTATGTCTGCTCATTTCAGCATTTAAAAATAACAATATAAACAAAGTTTATTTTGATTAGTAATTCCTGGTGAAAACAAAAATTATCATTATAAATAAAACTCATAAAACTATGAAATTGAAAAAATGATAAACTGAGACATTCATGTTTAAAGACTGAGTTTCTGGGAGGTTTTTGAATTGGGATATGATAACATACCAAAAAGAGAAAAATGACTTATATTCACTTTGAAATGTATAATTTAGTTTACTAAACTGCCATAATGACTGATGTATTTTTCCCCTATTGCCACTACTATTGCTTGAAAAATCAGGAGGAGAATGATGCACAGTGTATAATATTATTACTGAAGAAACAGCTTAAATGATAAACACAGACGAAAAGACAAAATATAAAGATGGACAAAAAGCACATATAAAGACTTCTACATTTCAAAGGACTTATCAATTCCAATAATGCTCTTTTTACTTACACAAAATAATTTTCTACTTGTACATACATTTTACGTTATTATCATATATCAGAAGTTTCTAAATGATACAATAATTTTATTAAGTTATGAAGGAAGTAAAGAATAAATTTCATTCCTGTATGATTTATTCCTAAAATAAACTGATGAGATAAATACTGTGTTGGTCCACAAAATCTCTTATAGTCAAAAGACAATTTTTTAACTATAAATGCAGTAGAACTATAAAAAAAGTACATGAATGGAACAAATATGCGAGCAAATATAGTATTTGTACAGTACAAAGTCTGAGTTCCAGACTGGTCAGGATTCCAGATTTCAGAAATTTCTGGATTTTAGATCATCAGTTTAAATCTAAGAATATGACATATAGACATGGCAACACTGGGAATTATTGTTTAAGACAGCCAAAAAAGTACTAAACCTTGTGTGGAACACAAGGGCAAATCAGTCTAACTGGAGTGGCCTCAACCAGGTGTCAGAATTCAGGGGTGGTAAAAATTTAGAGGAGCACAAAGCAGCAAAAATTAAGGATGGCTGAATTTTTAAGATGGCACTGAGCAGCAGAATTTAGAAGAAGGGGATCAAATTTTTGGAATTTAAGAAAGTACCAGGAAGCAGAATTAGAACCAAGAGAGATTGCACCAGGCAGTAAATGAGTAGTGCCCACCCTGCCTACCCTAAAACCCTTCATTATTAGTCATGATATATTTTATTTAATGATAATCAAATATTAATGATGATAATAAAATATAAGTCATGATATCTTTCAGTACACAGACATGCATATTGAAATGAGTCCAGCCAATCGAAGTAGTATATATATATATATATATATATATATACACACACACACACACACAAACTTATAATCAAGAAAATACCACTTGCTCATGGATCCTTCGAGAGCTTTCGAGGTTTAGGGCTAAATTCTTTGCCATTTGTAAAGTGAATGTACTAAGCAAGAAAATACCACTTTCTCAAGAATCTTTTCAGAGCTTTAGGGGTTCAGAGCTAAATTGTTGGCCATTTGTAAAGTTAAGAGAATGAGGCAAGGCATGATGTTGTATTACAAAGTCTGATATCCGAATGTCCAATAACATCCAGACCACGATTTTTCTCTTACTAAGTTTATAATACTTGAAAAATTAAGAACATGAGAAAATATATGAGAAGCAACAGGTGTACCATAAGGATTCCCCCCCCCCGGCACATACACTAACTGAGATTCCTGTATGTAAATTTCAATTACCTGCTGGCTAGGGAATCACACTATGGCCAATGACAATCAAATTATTATTACAGTTTCAGTAAATATTAAAACTTTCATTTTACTCTGAAGTTCATTCATGACCTACCATTTCATTCCCTGAACTTATACATCTATCAGTCAGCCAAAGGATATTAGAATTTTGCATGCACTGAAATGCAGATATATAGCAGCTTTTAAAAACTGATGCAGCAATAAGACCTTCCAAGAATTCCAAAAATATTTTAACATAAAATCTAATGCATGGGACGGACACTGCAAGATCAGACATTGTGTCTGCAGGCACTTTTTTAAATGCTTGGTGTAATTTATAGCCACTGTCAAATAGCATGATGACGATGAAGGCTTTCAGGTTTCACGAATGTGAAGGTTTTCAGATATCACAAGTGAAATTTTCCGTTTAAGGGAAGATTCGTCATTCCACTAACTGATCATTAATCAGTCATCAAACAACTGTACAGCTGTTTTAAAACAAGAAAGTATTGCCATTTCAGCTTCAAGACATATCCCCATTTTGGCTTCCATTTCACGTGGTGATGATTCAGAAAGAAAACTCTCTTTATGGAAAATATTTTTGCTTTAAAAAAGTAAATAAAATAAGGAATATTTTAAATTTTATAATTACTACATGTTATTTTACTATTTTAAAATTGCAAAATTTGAATCGGGGGAAGTCACAACAATTTCGAATCTTATCTGGAGCAGATTGTCCAACTCTACTGAGATGAACCTTAAGTTTTTATGTATATGTACCTTATGTAAAACGTAGCACTGACCTGTACAGCATTTATACTAATCTAACACATTTATCTGGTCTACTACAACTTCCAATGATACCCCATACAAATATACATATAAGAAGCCAAAGAAATGGTCCATGTGTTAAACCTTTATTAAAAAATAATGACAAGCATAGATTATACCTGTTACAGATTCAACAACTATATCACAGCACTTTGATTCCTAAATGTCAGGTTTTAAAAGCATTGATTTTTTTTCACTAATAATTTCAATTAATTCATCACATACTGTAAATCATAAATACCTTATATTTCATTTTTCTTTTCAGCTTTCTTTATATTTCCTTCTTAAATATGAGATGAAAAATTTTTATCAAATACAGGTAGAAATCCGAAATTTTCCAATGCAATTTCCATTAGATCCACTTGATAATCCACAACATACATAATTGCCACAAATCACATGTGAATGTATCCCTAAAATTGTTGATTTCGATCAATCTTCGAACTCCATTACTCCAATATTTATTTCTTCCAAATAAATATCTTCAGTGCTTGTATAAGTATGTGTATAAAGCTTTTAGCTATGAAAGTTGTTCTGGGGTTTCTGCATTCTAATGAACATTCACCCTTTTCAATTTTATCAGTTTTTGAATTTTTGTAGCCCTTAGTGAAAGATGTCTCAATGGAATAAAAAAATTTGCATTTATAACAATAAATTAATTTAAGAGTTAATATTGTACACTAAACCATTCTTCTTAAATATTTTCACAGATTGCTTCTGTATCATAAATTAGCCCCCCCCCCCAAAAAAAAAAATCCTTGGAATTTTCTTCCCAACTTCGGTAATAGTAACTTTTGGTGCACTTAACATTTTCTTGTTATATTATTTTTAATTATGAAATCTTGAATAATGGAAGTAAAATGTGTTAGCCACATAGATATATCACAGTTTTGAAGATTGTTTGAATGTTGTTGTTTGCCTTCAGTTTTGTTTTCTTTCCTGCATGTCACATGCTGATCTAGATTTTCTTTAACTTCTTCAATGACAGA